TAACTAGGGGCGGAGAAGTTGCAATCTATTACAGGAGAGAACTCACTTTCAATGTGAACTTCAGAACGTTGAATTCATTTTTGGAACAAAGCGTTTTGCTGAGTTTTCTATGTTTCTTGGCTGTGTCTACTTTTCTCACCATAGCTTCGCTAACTATGAGCGCTAACTATGAGAAGCAGGTCGCAGTTGAAGTATTTCACCATTTTGATTATATTTTGAGGAGATTTCAATATCAATATTATCAATATGTCGAATGATTGTAATGCTCCACCAATTTTTTTCATAATATGGCTCAGAGTTTCAAGGACAGTTTGAAGTGTTTTTGTTTAAGTATTGCGAATAATTCCATACCTGCAAAATTCGGTTGCACAACTTTTAGTCTTTTTTCATATTTTCTTGTAATGTCATCTGGTGTGGATTATATTTGTTAGTCTGGTCAGCTTTCTGTGCTTGGTATTTCTTACAACGACTTAATTTATTTGTCCTACGATATTCTAGTGAATTTCGCACCTGTTTGTGGCTTCAGTGTCCGTGACTACAAGATATGCAACGTTGGGGCTCTTTTTCATGAGGCTACTGCTGTACTGTGGTCTATGTTTTTCTCCACTGTAGGTCGTGATGATCAATTTAATTTGCTGAACTCGTTCGTTTTGCAGTTCGCCACAAGAAAATAATATGAGTTTACGGTTCTTCGGAATCAGGTTATTTTTCTTGTAAGAAGGGCTAAGTCACACTAATACGAAAATAGGCCTCACCCGGGCCAAGCGTCCGAAAGTTTCTGGAGGAATGTGAATAAATTGAGATGCAAAAGAGGCTATGATATTGATCTAACAGAATGCTTGCTCGGTTACTGATCTACCTGAACACTTTTCAACTGGGTGCAAACAACTAATACTTCTAGTCTATCGACAGTCAAAGTTCAATTCACTTGGCTATGCTCCATTTGTAACGCATTTATTCAATACCATACTTACCAGCTCCACTTTTGCTGTTGGTTGGAAATGTGCTATAATTATTCCTATTCCTAAGAAGAATAATCCAGCTTTAAATGATCTTCGACCCATTAGTATCCTACCTGGACTGTTAAAAGCCTTTGAGGTTGTAGTTCGCAATCAAATTAATGTTTTCGTCTACAGAAATGGACTCTTGTTCGATTCAGGGTTCCGCAAAGGATATAGTACTGCTACTGCGCTCCTTGATTTGACTGATAAAATTTCTGCTAAATTAGATGTTTCACGAGCGACTATTCTTGTTTGACATGAATTTTCAGAGGCTTTTGACACTGTTCTGCTTTGTCGTAACCTTGGGCTTTATTTTAACTTTTCGACTTGTTCTCAGCGCATGATTTATAGCTATCTAGCAGGTCATAGGCAATTTTTATCATTGAGCAACGAGGATTCATCGATACTTCCAGAAACATCTGTTTATCAATGGCCTCCCTAATTGCCTTACCTATGCTGGTTGCCACATTTACGCAGATGACACGCAACTCAATATTGATAGCTCCTTGACTAAATTGCCTCATAGTATTAATAATAGATATGAAATATCTATTAATAAATGCGCCAAACTATATAACTGTATAACTAATAAAATTGCCAGGTGACCTACATAGGTACATTTTTTTAAGCAAGAAGAAAGAGTTTTCGCAGATGTACTTTAGTTGCAAATATCAAAAATTATTTGATAAAAATCCAAAAATACTGTTTTTAAAAATGAAAATATACCTGAGAATAATATCATTAATAAATAAAAATACGGATTATATTCATGCTGAACAGAATTAATGCATAAATTTTGATTTTTATTATTTTCATATATTATTTTATTTTAGTTTAGAACACGTAGACTCCTTATTATCCTACATGACCCTGGAATAGAAAAGGAATAAAATATCCACATCCAATCATGAAGAATTTTAAATCTAGTATATAAGTGATGCTTTGTGAATCAATTACTGGGGAGCTATCACCACCATATGTAGTTTACCAAGCAAGGTATTTGTGGAGTTCCAGGGTAAGTTGGGAATCTTCAGTAGCATGGTTCAATAAAACTAAACTTGGTTGGCTCGATTGTTATACTTTTATAGATTTGATTTTGGAAACCTTTGGAGTTAAGTGAGAACTAAATACTTAATCGTTTTAATGCGTACTAGCTTTTCCAATCACTTTTTAATTAATGCGATTGAAGCGGTAACTAAAACCGAAATAAATTTTATTTTCCTGCCCTCAAATTCATTAGGAAAGGTGTAATACGATTTTGATTTATATTCACTTTTTTGTTTTTAAATGTTTAATTTGTGGATAATTCTGTTGGGTTATTAAGTTCACTCGTTTAATCCAATCAAGATAATCAAATTAAACTAAATTTGTATCAATTAACTGAAATGGATCTGAACTAAAACATTATTTGCAAAGAAGAAGTGCGTTTACTTATTAAAAAGAAAAAGTAAAGCTAAAGAACTTTGCTAAATAAAAAGAAATTTATGAAAAATCAAAAGAAAATAGATGCAATCGTATCGGATTTTCAAAAGCAATAAAAAACGAGAAAAAAATAGAGTTGACCTTGTCAACTCTGTGATACCCGTACGAATTCGTTATCCTATGTGCGAATAACTAATGTGCCATAACTAACTTTGGGGCAGACTATGACTTTAATTTGCCGTATTACTATATTAATTTATGCAAAATTTCAGTACTATGTGTTTTTCAAAATACTGGTTGTGCCAAACTACTATTGAAGTTGTATGGCAGCTACCAGAAAGAGCCAAGAAATTTTAGCGAATTTCATCAAGCACATCGGCCCTACTAATATATTCACTTGTGTGAAATCTCAATATCACAGCTTTTATAGTTTCTGAGATATAGCCAAATAACTTTTGAAGTTGTATGGCAGGTACCAGAAGGAGCCAAGTAATTTCAATGATTTTTATGAGACACATTGGCCCTACTAATATATTCGTTTGTATGAAATTTCAATACCATAGCTTTTATAGTTTCTGAAATATAGTCAAATAACTTTTGAAGTTGTATGGCAGGTATCAGAAGGAGCCAAGTAATTTCAATGATTTTTATGAGACACATTGGCCCTACTAATATATTCGTTTGTATGAAATTTCAATACCATAGCTTTTATAGTTTCTGAGATATAGCCCAATAAATTTTGAAGTTGTATGGCAGCTACTCGAACCGGTACCCCGATCACGTCCAATTTAAATAGGGTTCTGGCACTTACTGCAATAAATCATTTGTGAAAATTTGGTGAACTTAGCTCAATTAGTTTTTGAGTTATCGTTCGGACGGACGGACGGACGGACAGACAAAGCTAAATCAACTCAGAATTTGACGCTGATCAAAAACATACACTTGAGTCTATATCTAACACCGTTATTTCTTAGCGTTACAAACGGTAAGGCAAATTTAGTATACCCTTCGAACATACGTTCGTACGGGTATAATAACTTAAATGTAAGACAATTTTCCGGGAAAATAAAGTGCGCCAAAATATTAAATTAATTAAAAACAGTAATAATACGATAAACATGACACTTGATTCAATATGAACACGAGATTTAATCACAGAAGCAAAATCTATTCCAATATTTAACGGAAACAGAACATTTGAACTGAAAATATTCATAGGGGAAGCTGGCGCAATAATGGAACTAACTGGCGCAATAATGAAACTACGGTTGTTTCTCCTTCGAAAAAGCAACGTGAGACGAAAATAAAACCCAACTAAAACAATTTCCTAAAAGATTGCCAAATATGCCCAGAATCGTACTTAAAACTAAAGAAACTGTGCTTAATCTATAAACGTAAGTCAATATTCTGAATTAACAACAATTTTTAATAAATAAAATTTTTAAGTTTAAATTAGATTCAGAAAGCCTCAAAGACTTTAAGCGTATCAACAATGAACTTAGTAATCCAGTTCGGATATTAAATTCATTCTATACTGTCCACATGACAGCATAACAGCTTCGTCATCATAAAGATGTGAGCGGTACTACACTGCAATCAGTTGCTTCAAGTACAAATTTTTTATAATAACTATCCATTTAAGCTAGTATTTTTACTAATAGATAAGTTCCTCACAGACCACATTTTGATTGCTATTTCTCAACGTGTAGCATAGAAGAGTTCACTCAGTATTGGTTCTTTCAGAAAACCATCAACACATACTTTACTAAAGGCGCAACAAATACAAAAAAATTTTAATTTTATTCCCGCCTCGTTTTTAAATAGAAAAGCTAATTATTCTGGTTTAAATTAAAATAAATAATTTTACCTACATAAACTTTTAAATAACGCGCTTATTTGAGTAAAAGTCTAGAGACTTGAATAAATAATCTAGAGATTAAGTGAGTGCTTTACTTTCATTTGCTTTTTATATTTAAGCTAATTTTGCTTTTTACTTTGTTCGCCCATCTGCCTGTTCTTGACTAAAGGATCTCTGTCAGAACCTGTTACTTCTTTCTTCCTCAAATTCCAGTTAACGTCATTTATTTTTAAGTACAGCTTAACGCCGTCGTAAAAAATACACATATAAACTCATATAAATTTGATTAGTTTTACATATTTTTGTTAGGTTTTTGTATTTTCTGGCTGAAGACATTACTGTTCCTTTTTCGAATAAAATTGTATAACCCGAAATAAACAAAAATTGGTGAATACGAGTTTGAATACAAGCTCTTTTAATCGGTTTTACCATTCCACAATATTGCTTCTATTATAGAGTTTTTTTTTTGTTATGTTACTCTTTTAAAACGAATAGCCACTAATTTTTGATTATATTGATGGTTGCCGTTTTATTTATTAAATATTAAACAAAAAAGGGTAAGATGTTTCAATAATCTACTTATGAAATTAAAGCAAATGTTATACTGTTCCCAATAATATAATCACAAAAAATGTTATTTTATGGACACTAACCCTTGCTCTTAGTGAGGTAAAATTATTTACAATATGAAGTAATTATTTGATTGAAATGCGCTCTACCTTTTCTTCTCGCCTGCTGGTAAGACACTAGGGGCGTCCGGATCTCGTCTTTTGTTTCTGGCTTGCGCTTCAGCTTCTTCTAACCAAGCTTGTAAAATTGGTTTTAAGGCTATCATATTATTATGCGAAAGTGTTAAGCTTTCAAATCTACAAATCGTACTTTGTGAAAGTGCACCAACTCCAGGTAGTTTTAAATTTGCCAAGGCCTTTCCCACATCAGCTTGTGTCACACCTTAAATGTAAAATAGAAATGTTAGGGTTGCAATAAAATTAACATTTATTTGAAAGAACTAAGATTGGTAGATCGCCAAAGATTTTAGCATATATGTAGGTATTTCATATATGCAAGTAATAACTGTCAGTACCAATTTTGGCACAAGGAAAAAAATGAATTTTTTTTTTACGTTGTTATGTAAAGTAATGAATTTTTCTGTAAAATTTAACTAAATTTAATTAAATTTCCAATTACGAAACCTATTATGATGGTATAATTTAAATATGCAGCACAATGCAAAATTACAAAAGGACAAAATTGCATATATATTTTCCATGAGCAACAGACAAAATTACATATGGACACAATTTCACATAGAAAAAATTACATAAGATTTTTCCGAAGTCATATTGCACGTTTTAATTTCTAAATTAAAATGTGTGCTTACATTTTAGCTTTTGTGGCAAACTTATATGGTAGTAAACAAATATGGTAGATAACATATTGTAAATATGTAAAAGTTATACGTAATAGTTTTTCTAATCGTAATATTTTTTACACGCTCAACACTAATTGAAATCTAAATTTATGACTCATAACTTTTTCTTCTTCCTTTTATTAATTTTAAAATAAACTTCTTTCCCATGATATGTACGCTTCGTACTATGTAATATTTTTAGTAATATAGTAAAATATCAGGTCTGTCTGGGATAAGATAATTTTTAAAAACGTTATAAAGTTTTTGCATGCAAACTGTCTGGGATAATATTTTGAACAAAAAGAGAGAAACTGATGACATTCTCATTTACTCAACGTTTAAAGTTTTATCAAGTTTTGTAAAGTAAAATTTAATGTTTTAAACACCTTTCAAATCTTACAGCTGTCGAAATAATATGTATGTATGTTTTTCTTGGTTATGGCCGAATGTTTAATTTTTGAAAAAAAAATTTTTCATTAACAATAACTTTTTTTTCAAAACTTTTCAATTAAAAATAAAATAACCAAAATAGGTTCGCAAATGGTTTTTTCTAAGTTTCATACTTTTATAATCCAAAATCAAACTTTTTGGTTTTTGATGTAACAAAAAAATATTTGTTTACGTTTGATAAATACTTTGAAATTTGACGTTTATCGCGTATTTACAAGTTTTCTGTTTGGTATACTTTTTGTTTAAATGAGAATTTTTTTCGTTTTGAGAGAAATTTCATCATTGTTTCTTTTTTTAAAGTTCTTGCAAGTTTTATCCTAGACAGACCTATCATATTGCCAACTTTTAGATTAGAGTTTACTTATAAAAATTTTAAGTACAACTAAATTGGTTTTTATTGCTGTTACTCATGGACATATTATACTATATGCACAGAGAGTAGCGGAAAATCTTTGAAGCCAGCAAAGAATACGATTTATTGCTGCAACATAAAAAGTTGTTGCCAGCGTAAACTAAAAAGTAATATTTTATCACCGCTTGAATTTTTTGTGTGAAATTGTACACAAAATAAGTACATATATAAGCTTACAAAATTGTTAAAGCTTTATTAGAACTCAAGTGTTTTATTTTACAAATTAAGTAATTTAATAAAAATTTTAATTTTACAAAAAAAAAGATTTTGTTTCTCCACAAATCATACAAATTTATCAATTTTTCGTTCTGTATATTCGCAGTAATTTTCATAAAATCAGAAATAAGTAAGAGACTCTGAATTGACACATTTTTTGGTTAGGTGTTGCTGCGTACATTGAAATCAAATTTTTCAGAAACTAAAAATTAAAAATGGACCGTTTTTCTTTTGGGCAAAAACTAAACATAAAAACTTTAATAAAAGCAAAATGTAAAAAAAAATAAAAAAAAAATGAAATTTTAATATTTTGAGGATTTTTAAAAATATTTAAATAATATATAAATGATGTTGATGAATTTGATGCTAACGAGGTTGATCATGTTGTCTTTCATTTATATTCATTTAATTTTTTAAGAACTCTTCAAAAATTTAAAAAAAAAGTGCTTATGGATTCCCTTTGACCGTGTACCAACCTGGAAAACTTCTACACCGCAGAAGAAACGAGCCCGAAAGTTTAGAAAGAACGTGGAAGAAAAGTTTTAGAAATCTTCCCCTTTACTTTAAGTTATAACCTCTCAAAGAGTCAGTTTAAAGAAACCATAAACATTCAAATGAAAAAAAGTTGTGGCTGGTACTTTTTACAGCGGCAAAGCATAACTTATTAAAAAGATATATCTGCTAAAACTAACCGTTACCTAAACACCGTTCCTTTTCAAGTTTTTGATATCGGTTTTCTTCTATAAACAAAGGTAGTAAAAAATTTTTTGCAACTCCACCCCTCGGAAGTTTTCGCCTCTCCAAATTTGTAAAAGTCTCATTTTTGGCACCGTATACTTCCTTTTCAAACAAACAACAACATTTTGGCAAACTTTTCAAAATTAATTTCTATGAATGAAAGCTAACAATAATCGCCGCAATCAACTCTTGAATTGCAGTGTTATGTTAACACCTTTATTTTTTCCAAAAGCAGTAATCTCACTTGGAAAATTGATTCTTTACAAACCATTTAAAGTTTTAAGCAACTTTGTTAGCTACTTTTAATGAAAAATCTTTTCGATATATAAATAATTTATTTTGTTCATAAAAAGTAAATATCTATGTATGTTTGCCAACATGTGTGCATATTAAAGCAGTCAGTACTTTTAATAACAAAAACATAACATTAAACAAAAACATAATGTCCTTTTTAAAAAAAATGTTGAAAATCAAATCATATGAACTGAATAATTTCAAGATTTTAAAAATTTTTAAATTTTTGAATTGTATATTTATTATAAGTATGTGGGGATGTGCATTTCTAACAAAAATATTTGTATTTGTGTTTTTATTTTTCGACATAAAAACGCTTTATATTAAATTTTTTAAGGGAAATTTCTATTTTTTAAAAAGAATATTGGTTCATGTCAGAAATTATAATTTTAATATTTGGCTTTTGTACCTACTTGAATATTTTCATATGTTTTGTAATTTTAAATATATTTTTCTTAAAAACTGAAAAGTAAAAATTTCCTATCCAAAAAAACTGAAAAGTAGAATTTCAAAAGCTGAAAAGTAGAAAAATAAAACCAGAAATATGTAAGAGATTGTGAATTGAAGCATTTTTTGGTTAGATGTCGCCACGTACACCGAATTCTAATTTTTCAGAAACTAAAAATTAAAAAGGGATTTTTTTTCATAAAAGTTTCATACTTTTATAATTCAAAATCAAACTTTTTGGTTTTTGGTGTAACAAAAAAATATTTGTTTACGTTTGATAAATACTTTGAAATTTGACGTTTATCGCATATTTACAAGTTTTCTGTTTGGTATACTTTTTGACTAAATGAGAATTTTTTTCGTTTTGAGAGAAATTTCATCATTGTTTCTTTTTTTAAAGTTCTTGCAAGTTTTATCCTAGACAGACCTATCATATCATATATTGCCAACTTTTAGATTAGAGTTATCTTATAAAAATTTTAAGTACAACTAAATTGGTTTTTATTGCTGTTACTCATGGACATATTATACTATATGCACAGAGAGTAGCGGAAAATCTTTGAAGCCCGCAAAGAATATGATTTATTGCTGCAACATAAAAAGTTGTTGCCAGCGTAAACTAAAAAGTAATATTTTATCACCGCTTGAATTTTTTGTGTGAAATTGTACACAAAATAAGTACATATATAAGCTTACAAAATTGTTAAAGCTTTATTAGAACTCAAGTGTTTTATTTTACAAATTAAGTAATTTAATAAAAATTTTAATTTTACAAAAAAAAAGATTTTGTTTCTCCACAAATCATACAAATTTATCAATTTTTCGTTCTGTATATTCGCAGTAATTTTCATAAAATCAGAAATAAGTAAGAGAATCTGAATTGAAACATTTTTTGGTTAGTTGTTGCTGCGTACATTGAAATCAAATTTTTCAGAAACTAAAAATTAAAAATGGACCGTTTTTCTTTCGGGCAAAGACTAAACATAAAAACTTTAATAAAAGCAAAATGTAAAAAAAAATAAAAATAAATGAAATTTTAATATTTTGAAGATTTTTAAAAATATTTAAATAATATATAAAATGATGTTGATGAATTTGATGCTAACGAGGTTGATCATGTTGTCTTTCATTTATATTCATTTAATTTTTTAAGAACTCTTCAAAAATTTAAAAAAAAAGTGCTTATGGATTCCCTTTGACCGTGTACCAACCTGGAAAACTTCTACACCGCAGAAGAAACGAGCCCGAAAGTTTAGAAAGAACGTGGAAGAAAAGTTTTAGAAATCTTCCCCTTTACTTTAAGTTATAACCTCTCAAAGAGTCAGTTTAAAGAAACTATAAACATTCAAATGAAAAAAAGTTGTGGCTGGTACTTTTTACAGCGGCAAAGCATAACTTATTAAAAAGGTATATTTGCTAAAACTAACCGTTACCTAAACACCGTTCCTTTTCAAGTTTTTGATATCGGTTTTCTTCTATAAAAAAAGGTAGTAAAAAATTTTTTGCAACTCCACCCCTCGGAAGTTTTCGCCTCTCCAAATTTGTAAAAGTCTCATTTTTGGCACCGTATACTTCCTTTTCAAACAAACAACAACATTTTGGCAAACTTCAAAATTAATTTCTATGAATGAAAGCTAACAATAATCGCCGCAATCAACTCTTGAATTGCAGTGTTATGTTAACACCTTTATTTTTTCCAAAAGCAGTAATCTCACTTGGAAAATTGATTCTTTACAAACCATTTAAAGTTTTAAGCAACTTTGTTAGCTACTTTTAATAAATCTTTTCGATTTATAAATAATTTATTTTGTTCATAAAAAGTAAATATCTATGTATGTATGTTTGACAAAATGTGTACATATTAAAGCAGTCAGTACTTTTAATAACAAAAACATAACATAAAACAAAAACATAATGTCCTTTTTAAAAAAAATGTTGAAAATCAAATCATATGAACTGAATAATTTCAAGATTTTAAAAATT